AGTGTGAACATTGCCTTCTAACTAAGGCCAGGTGGGAGGGGAAAGGACAAGGCTTTAACCTGAATCTCCTGCTTTAGCCTGAAGATGAGCTATTTCACGGTCTCTCTAAGGAATGGTGTGCACGTATGTGTGTGTGCACGCCTGCTGCAGCTCTTCTTGCGCTCCTCTCCTGCAGACCCAGCCAAGGCAACTGGGCCCTCCCCTCCCCCCAGGTGTCCCCTCCCTCAAACACTCCCCCAGCCAACCCCAAACACACAAGCCTGTTGTGGTTTTATTCAGAATTTCAGAACCAGGGCCTTCTATAGCAAAGATCGTTAAAAGCTAGCATTCAGGCCTGCACTTCAGCACAGCAGGGGCTCGCAGCCCCTCAGAAGGGGGCTTGAAAAGAAGAGGCAGACCTGTCCGTGATACGAATATGAAACAATCTGAGTTTCTCTGGTAGTCAGAAAACGAAGTTCAAACACTTTGTGGAATATTGACAACAGTTGTCACAGGCAGCGAGAACAACATCCCAAGAACTGCTCAAGGTACTTCGCACCATTTTCAACCTCATTTTACAGATGAGGAAACTGCTTTGTGTTTTTTTTGTTTTGTTTTGTTTTTTTAAAGATTCCATATAGGCTTGCTCTGTTTGCACGGACCTTCTGGAAGGATTGGCAAAAACGTAAGGACAGCTGCCCTTAGGGATTGGGTTCTAGGGTTTTAACGTGGAGACAAGGCATTTGCTGCCGCATGTCCTTGGACTTCATTTTTTATACAGTGCGCCCATCTTGTTTTTTAAATTAAAAGCTCACTTAAGAATCAGGACTCTGTTTTCGCTGCCAGAAGTAAGGGGTATTCAAGTTGTGGGCTCTTCGAGGAGTGGCCTTTTCCCCCACAGAGTGGCCAACCTGTGCCTGACCTGACCAGTGAAGTCTCCAAGTAGATGCTGCTTTGAAACATCCTGAGTTCTCGCAAAAATGGATGTTTTAAAACATTTAAAAATCACCACCTAGGCTTGTGAGAAGTTAGTGTAAAGTCCGGATATTTTGCCCAAATTGAAGGCAGGTGAAGACGTGCCCAAACTCAGACTCTTGATGGAGCCCCAGCTGCCCTAATACGCTTGGCCTGACCCACCGGAACCTGACCTCGCAGTGCACCGCACAGCCGAGACCGCGCAAGAAAACCTCGCCCGACCTGCCGCCGCGACACCGCCCAGAGGGTTGGAGGGAAGGCCGGGCTGACCCACCCAAATCGTGCGACCACCAGCCCGAGGCCTGGACGTAAGAGCCGCCTCCGTGCATCCGCCGGCCACTTAGGCGCGCTTCCGCGCGCACGCAAGGCGGCTGACATCATCATCAGGCGACGGCCCAGGACCAATCGGAAGATTGACTGTGACAATCTGAGATTATGACAGCCAGTGGGCGGTGAGTGCCTCGGAATCTGAGGCCCCAGCCCCGCCCCTCCAAAGCGTCGGGTGGGCGGGGCACAGCTTCTCCGCCCCTCCCTGGGCAGTTTAGAATTTGATGTGGCGAGTTCCTTCCGGTCTGGGTCTATAGATTTGCTTTTAAATCAGATCATTTCCTGGGTAAAATAGCGTACCTTCTTTATTCATTATAATATAGTGAGCATTGCATCAAACAATTCAACATTTTTCCAGCTTTAAGTATAATTGACAAATTGTCCATCTTTAAAGTGTACATGATGATTTGATAAACATATACATTGTGGAATGATTACAAGTTCCATTAAACATTTTTTAAAATGCGCATGGATATATTATAAATTATTCAGTTGTCTCCTTTTGGGCGAGTAGATGGTTTCCAAATTTTCACTAACATAATTACCTGAAAGTTGTTCACTCCACTTCCTCAGGATGGCTACAGGGCGTTACGTGGAGATAAACATCTATTCCAACTGCTCCTGAGACTGCATTTCCCATGCAAACTTCTGCAACATCACAGGTTATGTTTAACTTCGGGTCAATTTGTTGTATTCATTGGTTTATCATTGCTTTTTATAGTATTCTCTTGTCTCTGCCATGTGTACACGTATGTGAGTTGTCTTTGTTCTTTGTTAGTTTTGCATTGGGCTGTTGGTGTTTTTTTCCTTGTTTTCCAAAGCTTCTTTGAATAGCCTGATGTACTTCCTACTTTGGAACCTGATCAGGTAGCATTTCTAAAGGGAACTGAAGATAAAACTTAAAATAATCATATCCAGTTTCTTCACTTGGTCAATCACTAAAGCTATTATGACCCTAAATAAAGAAGTCCTTTCAGCACTGAACGCTAACTAACTTGGGCAGAACACAGAATCCTGGCTGCTCTTTTCCACATATGCTGCTTCTACGTCTACTTGGACTTCTAGCACATTCTAAATACTTCGTGTGCTCTTTTAAACACTTAGGATCCTTGTTAGTGACAAAGTAAGACTGCAGTGGTGTTACGTTTTATATGAAATTGTCCTATAAAAAGCGGCGCATCACCTATTTTGACATTCTGTGTTGAAGCAAAGTTGATTTCAAAGCATTTGTGGCCAGATTAAGTTTATCCAAATGTGATGCTCATGATAAGAGGATATATGTTTTTTTGGTTTTGTTTTTGCGGTACACGGGCCTCTCACCGTTGTGGCTTCTCCCGTTGAGGAGCACAGGCTCTGGACGCGCAGGCTCAGTGGCCATGGCTCACGGGCCCAGCCGCTCCGCGGCATGTGGGATCCTCCCGGACCGGGGCATGAACCCGTGTCCCCTGCATCGGCAGGCGGACTCTCAACCACTGCGCCACCAGGGAAGCCCATAGATCCCTGGGCTTTTGTGAGAAGTCCTCCCATGTCCCCCCAGCATCTTAGAAACCACAACTTCTCGGTGTTCACTTTTGCACTCATGCAAACCAGACATGGAATTTCTAGGATGCTATTTAATCACACCCTCTCTAGTTCCCTTTTGACGTTTACCTGATCTGACAGGAGACAGCTCTATTTTGCTGTAGCTGGGGAGGCATGTGGTCTGCGCAGAGCTGAGCTGTGGAGGTTGTACCCTGGCTCTGTCTTGCTCTCTGTGTGATCTTGGGTAAGTTGGCTAACCTCCCTGTGCCTCAGTCTCCTCATCTGTATAATGGGGGTAATAATACTACCCCCCCCCACACACAGAGTTTTGTGAGAAGTGACTAATACTAGTAACTGGGGGTGGGTAGTAGTGACCCACCTTCTGTAACCATCAAGCACATACTGTTCTTATTATCCTGAGACTTGGGACCAGTTTGGGGGAAGTTGCAGGGAGGAGATCCTTTTGCAGGAGGAAGTCGGGGCCCCAAGTGCGGGAGGGCAGGAGAGTCGTAGGCTGGAGAAAGACTAAATTCAGTGTGTGCACCTGGGGCTGAGCCCAGCCTCCAGGAACTGAGATGGCTTCTGGAAATCCTCCTGAGATGGGGATCCACTTCTGGGTGCACCTGGAGGTAGGAAGAGCCCATAGGTGTGTGAGGAGGGCAGGGCTGTTCTGGAACCAGCAGAGTCCTGCCATGTTTTTTAGCTGCAGCAGAAAGTAGAGATTGTATGCGTTTGTACAAATCAGAAGCTAGAAAGTAGGGCGGGAAAGATGGTAGAACTGCTTTGTCCTGTTTGGGCTCCACTGTGAATAGCGGCCGACCCCACTTCCCCAAGGTCTGGCTTGTGCACTGACTACACCCAGGGAGGTCAGGTGGGCACAGTGCCAGGTATCACCATAGGTGGCAGGGAGGGCGGGTGGCATGTGCCCTGCATCGAGGAGGAGCCAGGCCCAGGCAAGCTGAGCACCATCTTCTGCCACGCGGCCTCCAGGCTTCCTGGCCCCGGGCTCCTTCTACCAGTGACGCTGGGTCCATCAGGGCAAGCCCTCCCACTCTGTGGAAGCGCTTATAGCCCTAAACACAGACGCTGAAGGATGGTAAGTACAGTTATTTTCAAATGCTCCCTTTCCTTCCCCCCTGACAGCATTGAAAAGAGGCTGCTGTCCGAGACCTTCTTGCCTGGACCCTCTCACCCCGGCCCTGCTCCCCGTGTCCACACTGCATTCCAGCAGCTTCAGGCAGATGCTTTACAGGCTATGACTGAGACAGTAAGAGAGGGGTTGTTCTAGATCAGGGGTCCCTAACCCCTGAGCCGTGGACCACTACCGGTCCACGGCCTGTTAGGAACCTGGCCGCACAGCAAGAGGTGAGCGGTGGGCAAAGCTTCATATGCAGCTCCCCATCGCTCACGTTACTGCCTGAACCGTCACCCCAACCACCACCAAAAATACCTGTCTTCCACGAAACCGGTCCCTGGTGCCAAAAGGGTTGGGGACTGCTGTTCCAGATGACTGCGCAGAGGATCTGTCTCATTTCTGGACGTTGTCTACACTGCATAACCTGAACCAGAAGACACCGGATGAGAGATCGGCCCAGGGTCCGCTGGGCGTTTGGGAGAAATGAGGACAAACGGAGGCTCGGAGTAGCGACGTGAAGCCTCTGGGACGCGAGGGCCCGTACCCTGGGGTCGCCGCAAACGGCCGACGGCTTGCACACACCCGGGAGCGGCGGCCGGAGCCCGAGGCTCGGAGGCTCTCGGAGCACAGACGGCCTCCGGTTCAGTTCCTGACTGCCTGCCCGCCTGCCGCGTGCCCAGAACGAACACAGCCGCCGACTCTGCAAGGCGCCGCTGGGTATCCAACAACCGCTTCTTGCACCACGTGGAGGCGCCGAGCTCTCTCCCCGAGCCGCGCCCTCTCCTGCAACCTCCTCCCGCAACCTCCTCCCGCCGCCCCGCCCCTCCACCTCCCTGCCCTCTCTCTCCGCCCCGCTCCTCCAGGGGCTCCACCCAATCCGGCGACCCGCCCACCTGCTGTACAGCCCATGGGCTGGAGCCGGGGCGGGACCCACGTGAGACGGTGTGCGTGCCCCGCAGGTCACGTGATTTTCGGGGTGGGCCGGCCCTGCCCCCTCCGCGTAGCGAGAAGCGCAGAGCCGCCGGCACAGTGCTCTGCGCAGGCGCAGACCGTGGTTCGCGGTGGGTGACGCAATCTTGCGCAGCCGGCCAGGCGTACGGCGGCAGCGTGTGTCGGATCACGTAACTTCCCCGAATGGCCTCCGCAGTGGGACGTGCATGCGCAGGTCCTCCCCTACACGCGAGGGACGGGGCCAGGGCCACCGCGGCCAATCGGCGTCGCCTTCGCCGGCGCCGCGCCCCGCCTCCCCATCCGTCGGGCAGGCTGTCCGTTCCGGGGCCTAGTCCTCGGAAGCTCGGCGGCGGCGGCCGGGCGGTGTGTGCGCGGCCCGCGAGGAAGAGGGCGCTAGGCCTGGGTTCCGAGTCGGGCTCAGGGGCCACGCGCGGGCCGGGAGGCCGCCGGGGAGTCGGGGCTGGCCTAGCTGTCGGCGGGCGAGGGCAGAAGCAGCCACCTGCGGCCATTGCCCCGCCGACCGGCGGGCGCTGAGGATCTGGACCGGGCAGGTGAGGCCGGCCTCAGGGACCCGGCCGAGCCTGGAGGCGGGCGGCAGATGCGGGAGCTAAAGGCGGGTGCGCCGGGGGGAGCGTCCGCGCCGGGTCCGGGAGGACGGATTCCCGGGCGGTCCGGGCTTGGCGGCGGGAAGGTGGTGCGCGGGGAGGCCCGAGTCCGGCCCGGCCGCCCTGTGACCTTGTCAGGGCCTCCCCCGTGACGCCTGCTCGAGGGTCGCCGGGACGGCCGGCGCGGCTGCAGCCCTCATGACGGCCTGTCAGCCTCCAGCACGGGAGCCACTGCGGCTCGGAGGTGTTGAGGGCCCTGCTCGGCGTAGCGCAGCTGTGCCCCCGGCGCAGTGCCCCGCATCGCTTCGCTGCAGTGACGGTGACTCCAGTAGGAGGGACTTAACGAGGTTGGAGAATGACTGTGAATTGTGGGCTACTTTCCATGAAATTTTCTTCATATAAAGTAGTTTAGTTGGTTGTTTTTAAAGGTAGACAAGGTTTGCTCTCATCCGTGGCCGCCATGTATTATATTTTGTTTAATTTGGTTTCCTGATCAAAGTAGTAGACGTTATTTATTGTTGCTATAAATTCTGTTAGTTTGGGGGTCTGGGTCTGTATGTAAATCACAAAATGATCTAGAGAAGCCAATTACTGCTTTAATGTATTTCATTAATCATCACTTTATCTTTAGGGCAGTCTTAGTCTGTTTTCATGCAAATATCTCATGAAGGTGCATCAGGGCTTCAGAAAAATGCTAAGAAGTGACGCGTGACTTGAATCTGTACATGAGAAAAGTTAGGTTTAGGTCGTTAATCAGCTTATATCCTTTAAAGAACTGATATAATCCTCATAATTTTTAATCCTTCTACTTCAGAGGTTGCTCATGCATGAATAATTCTTGGTTTTCAGAGCTGTTCCTGGGAAGAAGAAACATGGAGAGTGGTGCAGTTCTGCTGGAATCCAAGTCCTCCCCGCTTAACCTTCTGCATGAAATGCACCAGCTCCGGCTGCTGGGTCACCTGTGCGACGTGACTGTCAGCGTGGAGTACCAGGGCGTCCGGGAGGAATTCATGGCCCACAAGGCGGTGCTGGCAGCCACCAGCAAGTTTTTTAAGGAAGTGTTTCTTAACGAGAAGACTGCGGACGGCTCGAGGACTAACGTCTACTTAGACGAAGTGCAGGTGGCTGACTTCGCTTCTTTTCTTGAGTTTGTCTACACTGCAAAGGTCCAGGTGGAGGAAGATCGGGTGCAGCGAATGCTGGAAATGGCAGAAAAGCTGAAATGTTTGGACTTATCTGAAACTTGTTTCCAGTTGAAGAAACAGATGTTAGAGTCGGTACTTTTGGAGTTGCAGAATTTCTCGGAGTCTCAGGAGGCAGAAGGGAGCAGCGGCTCCCAGGTCTCTGCTGCTGTCTCCCCTGATGCTCGGGCAGGTGTGGCTGCGGACAGCCCTCTGGCCAACGGCGTCGCGGGTTCCTTGGATCCCCCAGCAGCAAGAATCGGCAACAGCCTGTTGCCAGATCTGCCCTCGAGAAAGTCCAGGGAGAAGCCAGACAAGAGAAAAGAGATCGCTAAGTCCCCCTACCCCAAGCTCAGAAGGGCTAGCGGGAGGCTGGCTGGGAGGAAGGTGTTCGTGGAAATCCCTAAAAAGAAGTACACTCGACGACTCCGAGAGCAGCAGAAGAGTGCCGAGCAGGACGCCGGGGACCGCGGGGGCCCCCGTGAGCCCAGCCCAGACGCCGGGGGAACGGTGAAGGAGCTGGTCACAGTCACGAAAGACGAGGAGGACGGTGGGGCTGGGGCCGAGGCGGAAGCAGTGCTGCCGAAGGCGGGGCAGGGGCAGGAGGAGGAGGACGAGGACGAGGATGAGGACGAGGAGGGGGAGGAGGGCGCGGGGAGGCGGAGGAGCAGCTTCCGGTGCACGCGCTGCGAGAAGGCCTTTCTGTACGAGAAGAGCTTCCTGAAGCATGTGCGGCACCACCACGGCGTGGCCACCGAGGTGGTCCACCGCTGCGACACCTGCGGCCAGACCTTTGCCAACCGCTGCAACCTGAAGGGCCACCAGCGCCACGTGCACAGCAGCGAGCGCCACTTCCCGTGCGAGTTGTGCGGCAAGAAGTTCAAGAGGAAGAAGGACGTGAAGCGGCACGTGGTACAGGTGCACGAGGGCGGCGGCGAGCGGCACCAGTGCCAGCAGTGCGGCAAGGGCCTGAGCTCCAAAACGGCGCTGCGGCTGCACGAGCGCACGCACACGGGCCACAAGCCCTACGGCTGCACCGAGTGCCCGGCCACCTTCTCGCAGCCCTCAGCCCTCAAGACCCACCTGAGGTAGGCACGGGCCGCCTCGAACCCTAGAACGCACATGGAGACGTGGGGGGCGTGCAGGAGGCAGCCGGTGTGGCTGCCTCGCGGGATGGGTCACTTTTCAGTTCGCTCCCTCTCAAAGTCGGGGGCTGTGTTGAGCCTCTGGGTTCTCTCTCGAGGCAGAGATGCGGGCATGGCGCTCCCTGGGCGCGGGCCCGGCTGATGGGGACCCGCGCCTCCTGCTCAGGCGCAGGGGCCTCTCCCGCTCCTGGTGCTGAGGCCTCCTGCCACCCTTGCCGAGTGGGGCCAACGACCCCGTCTCCCTTCCTGACCCTTCATTTGGGACTCAGTCCTGTGACCCGCTGGGTGGCGAGTCCCACTGAAGACCTCAGCAGGGCGACACTTCTTTGGGCTTGGAGAGTGCCTGTCGCCAATCTAAGCTCCAGGATTAGGACGGACAGGGACTCCAGTTACTGATTTTTGAAGTGTAGGTGGGTGACATTCAGTTTTTAAATAAATTCCCTTGCAGTGCTCAGTACTTATGCTTGAAATCCAGACAAAGCAGTTTTCTACTCTCCCCTAGATCTGCCATCATCCTGGGCCAGTCCAGGGGTGGGAGCTGGGTGTTTCTTGTCCTTTTATTGTCATTTATAGCCCGGCTCAGGAAAGGCTCAGTAAACATAGTGACAGCCACTCCATCCTCGCCCTGAAGTGAGTGCTTACGCATGCACCCCAGGGACCGGCTGGCTTCGTGTGTTGATAACAGTTCTTTCTAGACTGTTACGTCAAACTAGGAAAGGATGGTAAACATTTTGATCACGTGGTACTTTTGTCAGCCATGGTTCCTAAGGTGTCTGTGGGTGACTCTTCTCAACGAGGGAGCTTTATAAATACCACACGGTGCCGTTTGGTGTTGCAAACAGCCTGCAGAGGCACAGCCTGTGCCTGCACCTGGGGGCAGCACGCGGGGGGACTCGGCGTCTGGTGGGGATGTGGTGGTCTTGACTCGGGCAGAGACTGATTTGGGGGTGAGAGTCCTGGGCCTCGCCGCCTTTCAGTCCTTCGCATTCGGGCTCCTGGAGCAAAGCGTCTCCCCAGGTGAGGGAGGAGATGGTAATGCAGAGTGAGCTTTGACACATCCTGAGTTACCCTCTGAATGTTGTGCTTTCAGAATTCACACAGGGGAAAAACCTTTTGTCTGTGATGAATGTGGTGCAAGATTCACTCAGAACCACATGCTGATTTATCATAAAAGGTGTCACACAGGTAAATACTCCATCGTGATTGACTGTCTTTCCTGGCTGTAGGAGGAAAACTGCAGTTTTCTCCATTTAGAAGTTGGCATCTGCCAAGTGGTTTAGGTTAAAGCCCTGACACGCTCTTCCGTCTCGTAAGTGAGCATAAGTAAATGAGTAAAATCCGCCCGCTGCCTCCAGGGCTGTGTGCTTGTGGCCATGACCTGAAAGAAATTGCTCAGAGTATGGGGAAAGCTGTATGCTGTTATCCCGCTTCTTGCCATCTCTAGGAACAGAGCATTAGAAGAAACCTGACTGTCCAACCCCAGGGAAGTGGTTCAGTAAATGGGTAAATCCACCCTGTCCCGTCCCAGGCCCTTCTGACTAAGGTCTCTGAATATTACGAAAAACATCTGTGTTTGGCTGTTGACTTGAAAAATGCACAATTGAGCACACAGTGAATCCCAGCTTTATTGAAAACCTGCAGAAATATGAAGTAGTTACATGATGTGTTAAGGTGGGGGAATTATGAGGTTTTCAGAATTTCTGTGGTACGATTTCATCAGGTGAGGGAGAACATTTAAGCTCTTTATTCTGATTTTGTGCAGTGCCCCTGGGGTTCAGAGCCCTGGGGCGTGTGGAGTCTAGCTGTCGGGTACTGGGCTTATCACGCTAACCCAGTTCTGCTCCCATTTAAAAATTTTTACTTCTTTGTCCTATGAGCCTCAAGTTCAAATGGTGAGATAGATGAGCCGCTTAATGACGTGAATTAATAGACTAAAAAGAGCAGAATTGGTGTCTGATGGAAGACTGGGGTCGGGGGAGGTCAGGCCACACCGAAGGATTAAGTTAGAATCGGTCATTTGATGAACATGCTAATATATTTGGATTTTATTAAAGCCAGTAGTTTTGTTTTGATGTTTGAGAAATTGGGGCACGCCTGACAGAGGAGTCTGGTTTGTGGGCCCTCAGAGCCCCAACTGCACAGCGTGAAGGGTGGACGCCCTCCTTGCCCTGACCCCACCCCGGGCGGCTGGGAGCTGCTCCGGGACAGCCCCGCGTGTCCACCGCACACTCCTCTCCCTTCAAGAGGGGCTTCTGTTCTGATAGAGACCCACAGAAGCCCTGTGAAAAAGTCCAGCTGTTCCACCAGACCAGTTGGCGAACTGTTTTTCTTGTTTGGGATGACTGAATTTCCAAAACGTGAGCTGGCTGAATGCGCTCTTTAATTCTCATCTACTGGGATCTTTCCTGGGATTTCCAGGGACATTTTACACCAGCTTTCAGCAGGTAGCAAGCACTGGACACAAAGAGATATTTTATGACAGTTTTAACTAGAAAAGAACGCGCTGCCTGCCAGGGCACTTGGGAGGGTGGACCCCATACTCCGCGTGTTCTAGCGCCCATGTCTCTTCTAACTTCGTGTCTCATGTCTTCATGTAGGTGAGAGGCCTTTCATGTGTGAAACGTGTGGCAAGAGTTTCGCTTCCAAGGAGTATTTAAAACATCACAACAGGATCCACACTGGGTCCAAACCCTTTAAATGTGAAGTTTGTTTCAGGACTTTTGCTCAGCGGAATTCGCTTTACCAGCATATCAAAGTTCACACAGGTATGGCCGGAATGTTGCCAGAGAAGGGAGGTCAGTGTGGCAAGAAAATATCCCGAAGATTTTAGATTTTCTGGAAAATTATTTGGAATTTGGCTTTAAGTCGTGCGTCCTAATAGCATTTACACATTTTTGAGTGTCTAGTTTCTGGCTCTGACAAACTGGAAAGGTGTGAATGTGTGAACATGGATGTGGACGTGTGAACCTTTGAACACCTTGAGATTAGAATTAGGGCTGATGATCTGCACGTGCTAGTGAACACTCACACCCGCGCAGGGTCACTTACGACTGGAAAGCTGTGGGTGAGGCCACGGACCCCTGGGGCTCCTGCACGGTCGGCTGCTCGTGCCCGTGTTGCCCTCCCCATGGTAGCTCGGGACGCCAGGCGGCCCAGAGCAGCCGGTAGCTCTCATGTCCTCCGTCCCTTCCCTCCCAGGGGAGCGGCCCTACTGTTGTGACCAGTGTGGCAAGCAGTTCACGCAGCTCAACGCGCTCCAGCGCCACCATCGGATCCACACGGGGGAGAAGCCATTCATGTGCAATGCGTGCGGGCGGACATTCACCGACAAGTCCACGCTCCGGCGGCACACCTCGGTGAGCGGCCAGGCTGGCCCCCACGGACGGCCGCCGGACAGCAGAGCCACCCGCCCCCCTTCCCTGAGGCCCTCAGTCTGTAAGGGGGTCCCAGGGGAAGGCGGGGCTCTCCCTCCCCTGCAGCGAGGGCGGCCAAGGCGGGGGTGAAGCAGGGCCCGGGGCATCCTGAGTTCTTTCTGGCAGGGACCACGGTGGCAGACACGTGTCTGACGGTTGGAGAAGGCTGTTGTACTTGGTAACAAGTGGCTGTGAATTGGGGGCTCTGCAGATCCTGGTTAGGGACACAGTGGGTGACCTCTCTGTTCTGCGTTTGGTCCACAGATCCATGATAAGACAACTCCATGGAAGTCTTTCCTCGTCATCGTGGACAGCTCTCCCAAGGATGGCGATGGGCACAAGACTGAGCAGCCCGATGAAGAGTACACGCCATCCAAACTCTCTGATAAATTGCTGTCTTTCGCAGAAAATGGCCATTTTCACAACCTGGCCACTGTGCAGGGCAGCATGCCTGCCGTGCACGATGACAGTCCTGCGGACCCGGCCTGTAAGTCGGACGGCCCTGTGGGGTCCCAGGACACGCTGCTGGCCACCACCATCAACGAGCTTAGTGAGCTGACGCCGCAAACGGACGCGGGCCCACACAGCTCCACTCTGTGACTCACACGGACTAGAGCATGGGGTCACCTGCCCCGCGGTCCCAGCCTTGCACCTGCACGCATAAGGGCTGGACGCGAGCGTTCATCAGGGGTCAAGAAGAACTGTGGGCAAAGAAGTGGGCAAGGATGGCTTCCGCAGTTTCTTGAATTTCTGCTAACTTGCACGTCTCTATCAATCAAACCGTTTCTCATGGTTTCCCTTAGAAATCCTGATCTGCATGGTCTCAGCCACACTTTATCAGCAAACAAGGCAGTTAACATAACCTCACCTAATTCTGGTGGAATTATCCTAATGCTTGATGACCTTGACATTCCTGAGGCTGGGGTTACTGCTCAGCTTCATGGAAGTTTATTTCTGATACTTTAAAGCTATTTTTTTACCAACCTGAAGTAAAACTGGGACCACATATTTATTTTCAGCTGTTTCTTTCCTGTTGAAGCCAGTCAGGTGCTCTGGGACACTGGAATGGGGCTAAAGAGACAGATGACTGCACTTGTCCCCCTCTGCCCCCCTGTTTGTAGGCACTAAACACTTGTAAAGTAGCTGCTCACAGCACACATGCAACTAGGAAGTCTGTCATAAAATGACCTGAGATGTGGCTACAGGTTTCATTTCTAAAAATCCAATTTTAAAAAGCTGTCCTACCAAAGACTAGCAGAAAACAGCATAGTAGTTTTTGTAAAGAGGTGTGAAAAATTAAGCCAGGGGCTTGAGAACACTTGAAACATAGTGTAGTTATTTTATCCACGAGTAGCACTGAGGTGGTGGTAGCCAATCTAAGAACACAGAATACTAGTAGTTTTGCTAGGTTCTTTTGACAATTTCTGTGATTTTCAGAAACCCAGCATTTCTCATTAACATGTCAAGACGCTGACACAGGCAAGTCACTGGCGCACATGTTCCCCCGGGAGCATGAGTGAATTTGGCAAAAGGGACCAAAAGCCTCCGTACACTCCTCTTTGATTAGCCTTAAGAGTGGACCATGGAACCGCCAACCTTGTTTTAAATGCACGTCTGTCTCATGCTGGCCTTTGGTAATTCTGCTGGCCTTACCCAGCCTGGTTCTTGATCCAGTGGTGAGGGCGGGTCACTGTGCGCACAGTGCTTTGACTCACGTGACCCAGGTAAAAAGAGAAGGGGAATTGTCACTAGTTGCTCTTTTTCTTACATTTAATTTATTACACTTGCTGTTTCCTCGTTTTCTAAGAGGAAGGGTACTTTATGCTAGTCCGGGAAGAAGACACAGCTGCACGAGATGCCAGAAAAAGACCGAGGACACTTTCTTCCCCATGAGACGGTGACGTCAACACCGAAGGTGCCGAAGGTGTGAAGGCGTCTGAGGTGCTGACACGGGCTGCAGGTGGCAGTACTGATTCCACCTCCAGCTGTGACAGCGTGACCCACTTGTGTTCACAGAACAAAACAGTGACTCTCACACACGATTTACTCGAAAGGAGAATGAACCTGCCCGGCTAGTGAACTGTTTCTTGGGGTAAAGTCATCTTAATGAGAAGAAATTTAAATAATAGATTATTTTGTTACCTATTGGAATAATTTTTGTCTTGAATTTGTTTCTTTAGAAATTCTACAGAAAACTTTAATGTGTTAATAAATGTTTTGTAAAAATAGTTTCGCAAGTCTAAGTTTATTTCCATTATTAGAATTTAGGTTCTACAGAAATAAGATTCCTGATTCATACAGGTAGCTTAATTCCCTGGTCCTTGGAGTCTCTCCACCTCCGTGCACTGCACGTGTGTTCCTGACACGGGACGGGACAGGCCTGGCCCCGCACGCGCTCGGCCTCGGTAGCTGGTGCCAGGCGGCGGGGAGGGGCCCAGCCTCACTGCAGCCACGGTGACTCTGTGCCTCAGAGGCTCCTCCATCTACGGTCACTTCCCTGCTTCCCGGGAGGGGACAAGAGGGCTGCCGCCCCAAACCCTGCCGAAGATGCATCTCACCTCGGGGATTTGTGGGGCGTCTCCGTTTCTCCCCATCCAGGTGCTCTGTTGCCACGTGACTGTCAGCCCCAGACGATCAGGTCAGGCCATACCAAGGCGGCGATTTCACGCCTTCCAACCATCGTGTGGGAGACGCTCTCAGCCCAGACTCCAAAGCTCCCCTGCCTCTGCTTTTAACCAAAATTTGTTGTACAGTTTGAAAACAAAATTGGCCAAGTGGTGGGGTAAAGCCTTTATTAAAGGTGATCTTCACAGAAATGTGGTTTTGCCAAAGGTGAGCATCTAAACTGACCAATTTGAGTGTAAGTTATCATTTAATTCTAACCTGTTGTATATCTTGCCAGAGCAGGGACATTTTTTGAGACCAAGCAAGTGCCTGTCCCCTTAACTGAACTTGATGGTGTTCCTGTCACTCTAAGTAACATTTCAGGCGAAAGTCCATTTGTCCACAGGCACCAAGACGGGCAGATGGATGCGGGCACAGGGCCGCCTGGCACATCCGTCACCCCCCAGCTGAGCCCCGGGAACTGCCCACTTCCCTCCACCAGTTTGCACGGGCCTCTGGGACCCTCACCGAGGCTGGCAAAACCCACCACGGGAGCTTCTGTTAGGAAACAGAGGAGACATTTGAATGAGAAAGTAACCCTGAATATCAACAACCTGGCAGAATTCCTAGATGGGACGGCCTGTTCGACCATTCATTTTGAATTTGCCTCAAATGATCTTTGAGGGACCTGAACAAGGCCCGCTGACAGCACCAAGTCAGCGTAGCTCCACCAAGGGAGGTGGGGCTTCGGGCCCCCGGCCTCCCGCTCTGAGGTCTCCTAGGGGCCACTCCTCCTTAAAGCCTGCCAGTGAGATCCCTGACCAGGCAGCAGGAGGGAAGGGAACGGGGAGCCTGCAGAGCCCGGACGGCTGCTGCCCACTGCCCTGAACCCCGGGGGACACCTTCCAGGACAGGAAGCCACTCCCGACCTGTGCAAACCAACCAGGAAACTCACCATACCGTTCACAACTTCGACTTTATTTACTGTACAGGTTCACATGAAACACACAGGCTCTTTGCAAAGGTGGATTTATCATCACAGGATGAGTTCTCATAATACAACCTACCCGACAGCGCGGGGGAGGAGAGGCCGCGCCAGGCTGGGGCCCCGGGAGGCAGGCTGCGTGCCACAGGCCCTGAGAAAGCCACGGGGGTTGCCTCTGGGCATCTTAAATGCACAGTATCAGAGGAAACAATAAAGGTTTACAGGGACATCATCACACATGGTCACGACTGCAAGAATACTGTTTTCAAATCATTAAATAAAAAAGGAATTCACATAAGCTATAAAAACGTTGCCACAAAAAGCAAAGCTTTCCTGTAAGAAATTTTAACTCATTCTGACAATGAACTAAACACGATCTGCTAAAACACAAGGACTGTAACATAAATAGTCATTATACTTTGTTCATAAATAACGATCTGTAAGTCCTGGAAACCTGACCCGGGCTCTGAGTCACAGCACTGCCCACTTTGACGGAACACTTCAAGGGAGAAAGTCTGGATACTGTTAATGGGACTTTTTTCTGCTCATTTTCCTGTTACATTCTGGCAGGTCTGCTCTAGCCATTACAATTATATTTTACTCTTTTTCACGTGAAATATTAAAAACAAAAACATCTTAACCCAGGCACTGATCCCAGTGTTCATTTCAACACAAGCAACTCTAACTGATGTGACAAAATGCTGCCAATACTATTTCTCAAAACCACAGGTCTTCTGTCAGGGGTGCAGGATGAAAAGCTAATAAATTGCCTTAAAAGACATCATTTGCTTTTTACTTTACATGGTCAGACCAGGTTCCTTTAACAAGTGGGAACAAAGCTTCCAGACTAACGACAGAGCGCACACGCTGGCGGCGAGGGTTACAGCCGCTCAGGTGGCACAGATCTGCAGCCGGAGGACACAGGCCCCACACTCTTCTCACCCAAGTGCTTCTGGCCGGTTGGCACTGGATTAGGTAGAGCAACAAAACCCCACTTTTCTCTCCAAGCATTTTTCATAGTTCCAACAGGAAGTGGAGAAGTACCAAGCAGCTCCATCCCAAATGTACCGTAGCTGACAGCCAGCTTTCTTTTAAGAATCCCAGACCTCTGAAGGAAGGAAGGAATCCTCATCGGATGCCAGGGCCCACGGTCCGAGCGCCTGCGTCTCCTGGTCTGTTCCTGCTGCCCTCAGCCAACACTGTGACATGACTGCCCTGCCTCTCCACCAGCCAGCCCAGCCTGCACAAGTGACCCCGCAACTACGGCCACCGAATCCTCACGGCTGCCCACAGGGCTTGCTCCATGACCGGGTCCCAGCTGGCCCTTCTTAGCCTCCTTTCCTGCCACTTTCTGCTTCATCCCAGACGGACCTGTTCCCCATCCCCAAGCCTTCCTCCCCGCTCAGCCCTCAGCCTGGGCACACCCTCTATTTCTGCCCAACAGCAGCTACCAATCCCAGTCGAGGACCGTCCAAAAATGCAAACACCATTCAAATACCAGCTAACGTTGACAGGGCACAGGAAATTCCACTTATCTGTCAACACTGTCATTACCTGGCAATTAACACACATCAAACATAAATCATTTATGCCTAAAAATATGGACACAGGAGATTCAGGAAACAAGACCACGTCTAAAGTACGATGTCAGCACATAACATAATGCACAGGGATCAAGTTCACAGGTCAACAGAGCACATATATAAGCCAAAATAATAGGACAGAATTCAAACACACAAGCTAGAACAACTCCATCAGCTAAGCGCAGGTCCCCTCAGAAGCTAGTTGGGGATCTTTTCCTGACTCAGCACAGCAAACCTCTGTACCGTACTCAACCTACCAAGCCCATCACATCCAATTAATGGATAAAATGAACATGACACACAATTAAAAATTAAAATTAATGACACACAAGCTCCGACTGAGGTAACCTCCCAGCCCTGGTGAGTACGTATGTGAGGGGGCACACGAGGTGCCCTCTCAGCGTGGGAAAGTGTGTGAACACAGAAGTAAAGGGATGTGCCCGTTCAAACACCTTCCTGTGAAGATGAAGCAAGGGTCCCGCCCCAACTAAAAGTGGACGCCATCTGCAGGAAAGGAAAACGCCCAAGTCTTCTAGATCTTATATGTGTGTGCACTTGTATGTAAGATCAGGCCCACCTCCACACGCGTCCACACACATAACCAGGCAGTGCCAGGACGCTCCCTCTTTTCCCACTGTAAGCGGCTGGCAGGCCCGGCTGATCTGAATTCTCACACGCACATTACCTACGGAACGATATAGAAAGCAAAGAAACTGGTCACTAGCACCATCAAAAGAATCACGAGACAACAAAAAGTATAAACAATTTCTCACGAGGAAAGTCATAAACGCGCTCCTAACAACGATCCTACACTAAACACACACGTTTAGAGAATCCATCCAGGTGCAAGTTCACGGAGAACATGCAAAGCGTCTATTAGAACTGGGCTGGGTACTCAAGTCCAGGAAAAAGGACATAAAAATATGTGGCAAAATTAAACAGGAGCTCTGCATGTATCAAAATAACAGGAGTAAGATTCGGAAGCAGTTCTCAGAAAACTCTGGGGACTGACAAGCGGGAAACAGCCTGTCACACTCGCAATACACACAGGAGCCGCCCACCCATCCACTGCACGGTGACACACATGGCGGCTTAAACACACACACACCATCAGGCTCATGTGCAACAAAATGAAGCCATTGAATGGGCATCCCGTAAGGATCACTGGCCCTAACACGAAACTACAGAGGACTCGGCGGCATGCCACAGAGACACAGCGCTTCACTTGAGGTCTCCATCTCCTTCCCCGTCCCCCTGGATGGACTTCTTGATGCGCAGCAGCATGGTGGTGAGCCACTGGTCCAGGCGGGATATCGAGTCAAATTCCTTCACCTGGTTTAAGGGAAGAGGAACAGGAATCATTCCATGGAAATACAATCAAACACAGAACTACACTGCCCCACACTGCTTAAACATTAACTTTCTTCATTTAAAATCATTCGTTCAAGCTTGCAACTTTCTTTATTAAAAACTTTTTTTATATTGCTCTTATGCTAACATGCAATGGCAAAACTCCATAACCGCCTACTGGACGAAGAGTACATTTAGCGTGACAAAGGACATGAGACCCTGCATAAGAACAAGGGGACATGGAAAAGTAATGTAGCTCCAGTATCCACTGAACACAAACAAACGTATTTGCAGCAAGGGAACACGTGGAAGCAGAATTCCTTTAACTCATTTCCACAAGTTATCGAAGAATGGACTTTCATAGGATGAAGAGGGTTTGGCAGCAAAAGTTAAAGGGGAAACCTCGCCTTCCCACTATTGCTTCAAAGCCAGGATGAATGACTTAATGAAGGACACTAAGAAATTCACTTCATTATGAACGTAAGATGGAAAAAGATGGGAAAACAGGAAATTGATGAATGTAAAAATAATTTTCCCATTTACTTTAGGCCAAGAATGTAACAAACTCTCATTGCTTTGTTTTTGTTTTAAATTTAAGTGATTAGATTTCCCTGATTTCACTTGACACTTATTTATGGAGATTATTTTCCCTAGAAAACATCCAAACAAGTCATAACATTATGTGATATATATTTGCCTCACAGCT